ACGTACGTATATATATATATATATATATATATATATATATATATATATATGATGGCTATTATTACATCTACCTATATTCGTCATCGTTTCAGGAGAGGATTATGGGACAGTGGTCGTTGACAACCAGGTATGGCGTCCCTTCTGGTGGTATAACGCGTGGAGCGAGTGGCCCAAGGACACCTCGGACGTTTTAGCAGGTAAGAAAACGAGATGCAATTAAATGAAATAGAAACTCAATTAAATTTAGAAAACATGCGCCGAAAAGTATGGAATACGTAGGTAAGCGCTCACGCACGCTGTTGTCTTTATCATCTCGTAATAAAACAGCAATTAAAATCATACGTTGGAATAGTAAACGCACAGCAATATAGTCTGTTAGCAATATAGTATAGTATGTAAGGTTAATTAGTATTAGAAAGTATTTTAGTAGTTAGTATTAGTAGTAATAGGGTAATAGGGTGATTATAACCTGCCATGGTGGGATTCATCAAACGACGCCGACGGACTTCCCCCACCCCAACCACACCCCCGTCCGACTATCCACGTAAAAAATTATATATCATATTTAACACAGACATATGTTATTTGCAGGTTCTTACGGATCATGCATGTCCGACGGCAACTACTGTTTTGGACGGCTGCCCGTTCAACTTAAAGAATCGTCGACTAAACTCCTAGCGAACGACTCTGATGGAAACATGTTCCGGTAAATAGCGTTGGGTAGATTGCAATGGCTTCCGGTAAAATTACAAGCTAATATCCTGGCATCATTGGTACTATACTACAAGTCGTAAAGCAACGACTGCGCTCTCTCTCTCTCTCTCTCTCTCTCTCGCCTTCTCTCTCCTCTCTCTCTCTCTCTCCTCGTCTTTCTCTCTCTCGGCTCTCTTCTCTTCTCCTCTCTCTCTCTCTCTTCTCTCTTTCTATCTCTCTCTCTCTCTCTCCTCTCTCTCGCTCTCTCTATCTCTCGCCGCTCTCTCACTCATCTCGCCTCTCTCTCTCTCTCTCCCCCCTTTCTTCTCTTTCTCTCTCTCTCTCTCTCTCGCGCTATCGCTCTCTCTCTTCTCTTTCTCTCTCTCTCTCTCTCTCTCTCTCTCTCTCCTCTTCTCGCTCGCTATCGCTCTCTCTCTCTCTCTCTCTCTCTCTCTCTCTCTCTCTCTCTCTCTCTCTCTCTCTCTCTCTGCTATCGTGTCTCTTCTTATCTCTCCTCTCTCTCTCTCTCTCTTCTCTCTCTTTCTCCTCTGTCTCTCTCCGCCTCTCTCGATTCCCCTCTCTCTCACCCCCTCTGCTCTCTCTCTCTCTCTCTCTCTCTCTTTTTTTCTCCCCCCCCGCTCTCTCTCTCTCTCTCTCTACTGTTTCTCTTTCTCCCCTGTAAACGGACCTGCGTAGGTAGCGTTAGTATAGGCGCGGAAGGTAATAGCTTCCGATCGCTTTCGGTGTGTGAATCTTTGACCCAGAAAACCCCACAGCGCACGCGCCTGGGCAGCCTTATCACGATCATAGGCAGTGGCCTGTTTAGCGTCAACCCGCAGTCTGGCCGTTTGAAGTCCTCAAACGGTAGGTCATTCACACACGCACCGGCAGCGCACCACGCACGCACGCACCGCGCGACACGCGCACACACATGCACGCAACGCACAACTCGCTCCGCACTGGCGCACGACATGCCACGTACGCTCGCGCGCGCGCACGCTCACACTTACACGTACACACGCACGCAAACGCGCACGCACCCGCGTAAACCTCCACGCACGTAGATACGTTCGCACGTATGAGAACGCACGCACGCACGCACGCACACACGCACGCACGCACGCCACACACACATGTGCGAAACCATTACAGAGACCCGTCCGTCCAGGATATTACCGTGTATTCGTGTACGAAAAGCCATAATTAATTAACAACGTCTCACCAAGACCTTTGAAACCTAATGTCTGCGAAGCACCGAGAGCGAGCGAGAAGAATACTCACCGACTATTTGTTATCTATATTAACGAACATTCGTGCGGCTGTGTAGTACACCCTAGCCTCACCGTGTGAACTCGCGATGTAGAATTGCCTCTCGTGACGCTCGCAACTACCGGGGGGTCATCTTTTTCTAGACTAATAATACTCCACCCCAACCCATCACCCGCCCCCACCCCCTCCTCGCCGACAGAACTAACCTCATAATGACAGTTCACATCCTTGCAAAAAAAACGCGTTCCACCCACCCATCTTGTCCACCTCTCCGCTCGCCCACCTCTCCACCTCCCCCCACCTTCTTCACTCCTCCCACCTCTCCTCCCTCCTCCCCGCCCCTCCCTATTCTCTCTTCCCCGCCTCAACTTCTCCTTCTCCCCCACCTCCGGCCCTCTCCTCTGTTTTCCCCGCTCTCTCTCCTCCCCACCCACCTCCCACCTCTCTCCCCCACCTCCCACTCCCTACCTCCCACCTCTCCTCCCCTCCTCCCCGGCCTCCCCACCTCTCCTCCCCTCTCTCCCCTCCCTCCCCGCATCCTCGCCTCGCACACACGCGTTCGCTACATCCCGTAACAAACTGCGGCGGTGACGTTATTCATGACGCGCCTCCTGTTCGTACCCGTTCATCACGCTGTATATCTGTTACCTGTCTACCGTCGCCCCCTTCGCCCGCATTACGCGTTCGCTGATAACAACTGTACAACAGACTTTCTCCCCTCCTCTGACGCGACGAGCGAGCGTGCGTGCCTGTTCACGCGGCAATTCTACAATGATCAAACATTGAGGGCCCCTGAGTATGAGAGACGAGGGAGGGAGGAGAGAAGAAGATTGAGCAGAATGAAGAAAGAGAGAGAAGAGAGAGATAGAAGGGAAGAGCGACGAGAAAGCAGAGAGGCGAGCAGAGACGAGAGATTAAGCGGGGCGAGAGAACACACACACACACACACACACACACCCACACACAGAGGAGAAGAGCAGAAGAGAGAGAGAGAGAACGAAAGAGAGAGAGAGAACGAGAGAGAGAGAAAACAAAATTAGCCGCCATTAACTGTCATTGTTGTTAGGGGTACGGTATATAATCCACACGGTAATCCACAGCTAGGTCTACATTGACGAGCATCTGTTGAATAAACTGTGCGTGACAGAGAGAGCAGTGGCACCGCGTGTGTGGCTGAGTGACGATATTCTATTTACACGGACACGTTTAATATAATAGGTCCATATATTATACAGTTCCGAGTAATTTACTCATTTTGAGGGAAATCGCAACTGATAATATGGGATGTAGGTCAGATTTCTATACTTTTTTATTTACACCCTCGCAAATTATAGTATACGGAGTGTAATAAATGTATGTACGTGTATATAGGCCATATATGTGCGCGCTTGTGTGTGCGTGCGTCTGTGTGAGTCGTGCGTGCGTGCGCGCGTGAGTGTGTGAGTTGTGCGTGCGTGCGTCTGTGCATGTATATATATATATATATNCGTCGTCGTCGGCGTCGTCGTCGTCGTCGTCGTCGTCGTTGTTGTTGTTAATGTTGTTGTTGTTGTTGTTGTTGTTGTTGTTATTATTATTATTAATGTTGTTGTTGTTGTTGTTGTTGTTGTTATTATTATTAATGTTGTTGTTGTTGTTGTTATTATTATTAATGTTGTTGTTGTTGTTGTTGCTGTTATTGTTGTTAATAATGTTGTGGGGGATTACCATAGAACTAATATATACTAGTTATACTCTATTGCCTCTCTAAATATTTCTATGGGGGTCACTTATCGTTGTATGTCTTCGCTGCCGTTGTTGTTGTTATTATTGTTGTTGTTGCTGTTGATTGATGTTGTTGTTGTTGTTGTTGTTGTTGTTGTTGTTGTTTTTTTTTCGTCGTTTGCATTAGTGTTGTGTATGTAATAAATTAATATTTTAATTTTAATTAATTAATTAATTAATTGATAAATAATTAACAATTACTGCTTGCAGACGACGCGGAGACGATCGACGTCGGCGAAAACTACGAGCACGTGCAGGCGCCGACGCTAGCGCCGCGGGCGACCGGCCGACGAGTGGCTACACCTCTCAAGGAATCGCAACCCGTCGTTCGAAACAACATCGTCGGCGAATTCAAGGTCTCCTCTCACCCGGACGACCCCGCCGCCGCTGCCGCAGACGACGAAAATATCATAGCTATTTCTAACGTTCTCTACATAGCCGGCGGAGATGACGGAACCCGGGAGACGTCGGCGCGGAGTAGGAACAGTGAAGAGACGCGACTAGAGAGGAGGGGCAGCGGTCGGCGAGGCCCCGGCGCTGGTCGGATATCGAAGCAAGTTGGAGCTCACGAGTGGACGACGCGTCGGCCGGTCGAATTCCGCAGCAACTCGCGCGTCGTCGCCAACGAAGAGCCGACGGAAGAGGAGCCGATGAGACCCGCGACGGAGGCGCCCCCGCGCGACGCGACGAAGCTTACCGATTTTACGTCGGTCGAGACGTCGGCGACGACGGTCGAGTCGCCGGAGACAGACATGACGTCGGCGATGATGTACGACAGCACATCGATGCCGACGGAAGAGACGACGCCGACGGAGGCGACGAGCGCGGCGGAAGCAACAACGACGACGACGACGACGTCGGCGCCCGCGCCGGTCGTGAAGCCGGATCAAGGTCCGGAACACGTGCGACCGCACGAGTCGCGATCCAGTATTCCTCTAGGTCGTCCCAAGGTCGCCAACCCTCACCCGCTAGGACGTCCTCCCGGTCGCCAGCTACCACCGAACGTCTTCCTCGTCTCAAAGAACGAACCTCAAGTCACTACCGAGGCAAGCACCACCGTCAGAGCGACCAGGGCCGCGCAGCCACCGCTGAGGGCAAGCGTAGAGGAGGAAGAGGAGGTTGAGAAGGAAGCTGTTTCTCAAGCGGAGGCGAAACCAGCGCAGAAGCCAGTGACGAAACCTCCCAAACCGGAGGAAGCCAAGGCGGAGGAGGAGAAGGAGGAGGAAACGGAAGAGGAGAAGTTCAATAAGCTAGAGTCGAAGCGGCTCCGCTGGGAGGCGCGTCAGGCGAGACAGCGCGAGCGACAGCGTAAACGCGCCGAGAAGGCAAGCGCCGCCAGAGAGCGCCAGTTTCCCGCGAGATTCCGAGCACAGGGCGACAGCAGAGGTCGCGGTTACTTCCCGGGAGGCGCACGCCCTCTATCGGCGCAGTACGGTCGCTCGAACAACGGCTACCGCGCTCCCGTCGGTCAAGGTTACGGCCAAGGCTACGGCCGACAGCGCGGCGGCAACGCGCGGAGAGGCGGCGCTCGCGTCGGCGGTCGCTCGCCGCCAGGTGGCGCCTCCCCCGACCTCTACCTCGGCGCGGTGTCGTCGTCGGAGTTTCAAGGTACCTACCCTCAGAGAGGAACCGTTCTAGACAGAAGCGAGGACGACGGTGGCGACCGATACAAGGCCGCCAACCAGTACCTGGGAGAGTACGGCACGGACAGAGGCGGCGGCGGCGGCTACGGAGACGAGCGATACCCAGGGTACGCGAACACCGACCGCAGGAGTTCCGGCTATCGCGAATACACAAACGGATACTACCCTAGCCCTCGTCTGCTTGCCAGCCCCCCGCTGGACAACTACCGATCCGGATTCCGCGCTTCCGGCCGACCGCAGCCGGCGCGCGGAACCGGAACCGGATACGAGCAGCTCGGACGCGTCGGCACCGGATATGGGTACCCGGCGGGAAGAGTTTACGGCTTGCAGAAGGTGTCGGGGCGTCGTCGGCTCGTGCCCACCGTCGCCGCGCGTGGCAACGAGTATCCTGATCCGACAAGCAACTTCAACAACGGTTTTGCCGTCTATCGTCAGCAGCAGCTGCAGCCGCAGCCGCAGTATCCCCAGCAGCCGCAGCAGCCTCAGTATCAGTATCTTCAACAGCCGTATCCCCAGCAGCAGCAGGTCGGCGGTCGGCCAGCACGTCGGCCCGAGGAGGCGCGCGTGCGCGGTGGCGACAACGCCAACGACTACAGCGACTACGGCGGCGGTTACCCGGACTACGGAGACTACGATGACTACACCTCATCTCGCGTCGGCCCAGGAGAACCCTTCCCCGACCAGCCCCAGTACGGACTGGTAAAGGTGTCCGGCACCGCGGGGAGGGGCAGCGAGAAAGAGGAGGAGGAGCCCCCGCGAGGGAGGCTGAGAGGAGGTCCGCTTCCCCCGTCCCCGGGGCCACGGAGAGCACCGGGACCTCCCCCCGCGCAGCCGCAGTACGGACTAATCAAGGTGTCTGGGACGGCAGGGCAGGGCGGAGAAGCAGAAGAAGAGGAGGAGGGAGGAGAGGAGGAGGGGGGCTACCTCGGTCCGCCCGGACGAGGGAATCCGGGGTTCGAGGGACGAGGAGGGTACTACGGGCCGCCGCCTAGACGGGGGCAGCCGTCGTTTGGGTGGGAGGCGCCTCAGGGTGCGGGAAACTATAATCAGGGCAGAGCGAGACAACCGTTCTATAGGCGGCCATCTTACTATGCATGATCAGGGGAAAAGTTTCTCCCGCTTTCTGCTCTGATGACCCATCCAGTGACCGTGTCGCGTGTAACAGACCACGGCATACCGTTATATCAGTGGTTCTTAACCCTTTTTTAAAGTCATGGACCCCTTTGAGAATTTGTTAAAAGCTATGGATCCCCCCCCCAAATGCGCATAAGCACAAAATTTTGCATGCGCCTGGTTCACGGACCCCCTGGAGCCCATCCACCGACCCCCAAAGAGGTCCATGGACCACAGGTTAAGAACCCTGCCTTATATTCTCTCTCGATATATATTATATATATATTTTTACTATACCCGCCGTCACATGTCTGTATCAGTGGGTTGCACATCACAGCGCATATTTAACGCTCACAGTTTTGTAAACATTCGAATATTCGTTTTCGCACGTCGTAGCCGCATGTATAGACATAGCAAATCGCATTTACAGCAAATCTTATTTACACACACAGTCTACCTGAGGGATCACATGGGATGCGATGGGACACTATTTGTCATAGGAAGATTCTTCATATGACAAATATTTGCGAGTCAACTTCGTTCCGCTTTACACGCTGAAATTCACTGCTTGCGTTCATAATAGCGCTCCTAAACTCTTTTGATGCGCACAACACATACAACAATATTTGTCATAGGAAGAATCTTCCTATGACAAATAGTGTCATAGGAGAGCGTATATTATGCGTATGTCGTATTTGTCATAGATGCTAGCAGGTATGTACTGGAGGATAGATTCCGTCGTCAATACTCCTTGAGCGTGTGAGTAGGAGGGGGAGTGGATTCCAAACTTAGTACTAAATTGTGAGCCGGGAAAACTTGCCAGTATTAGGCTGAAATAGAGATAGACGGATGTACTCAACAAGTGAACGACTTTAAATGGCCTACACATGCGCGCGTATGAATTTACGTTAACGGCACCTATATAGTGACACAAGATTCGATAGTGACACATGATATGTGGGTAACATTTCTGTAATGGAATGATGGAGGTGTTGCCCTAGTTTATTTTGCCGTAGATTACAGTCAGATTATTTAATATTCGATGTCCAGTGACGATTGCTCGTCATTGTTTTACTCTTGTTGTTAATAGATTCTGCGCGAGCCTGTTAATATATGCACGTCATAATATTTTGTATAATTATTTTCTATCGTTCCGTGTATTAACAGTTATCCAATAAAATATATGGAAATCCATTTCGTGGTGTTCATGTTAACGTTGTGTTGGGGCTGAATTATGTCTTTTCCCCCGGTATTCAAATGTCTTCTGTACTCGGTTACGTTTCTCTCACCTGCTTGCCTGCTGAGTTTTCTCAGTTTCCAGAAGAAATTGTTTAATGTGAGTTTAATTTTGATATAGTATTAAACTGTATCAACATGATATCAGGAGTGAATAATAATAGATATTATTTATCTATATCTATCTAATATTATTCACTCCAGATAATATTAATACACTGTTGACCTCAGCAACGAAAGAATACCAAGTAACAGTATATAATAATACATAACGAAGTATATGAAATCATGCACATATTTTACTTACTGCAACTGTGTCTTCCACAAGGCCATTTCAAGAATACACGATATATATATATGTTATTACGACAATGTAAAGTTAGTTTCTACGGTTCTTTTCTAAATGGCTACTATCGAGGTTCAACCATCGCCATGCACGTTGAATTCGTCTGCGATAGGGCGACCTCTGGTGGGTCGCATGTCCATCTTACTCGCCATTGTACTGGATGTCGACGTCACCGAAGCCCCAGATCGGCTCCTCAATATCGTAGTTGTAGAGGGTTCTGGGCTGCGTGTACTCGTGTCCCTCCCTGCGACGAAAGAAAGCGAGGTTACTTACTATACCAAAGGCATCGCAGAAAAATTTGAGGAACATCGCACCATTTACGTAATATCAGGGATAGATAATGACACATTGTTATTATATATATAATACATATACAATATATACTATGATACGTAATCGTTTACTCAGGGTGGTTAGTAAGAACGATTTAACGATGAGAAGGACGCTTCGCATAAGTTTTCTATTTCGCCTGTGTAGTGCTCTAGTCAGTAGTGACATATATCGTGACTTTTATCGATATATCGTGATTGTGAAGTGTGCCCACCCTGAAACCGATTACAATAACAACAACAACAACAAGCAACAACAATTTGGTTAAATCTCGTTAATACATCCCTCTGGAACGCGAAGGGGAAATTTATAAGGGTGCGTATATACGCGTTAAAATTTTAGAATTCGTCATTATTGTTGTTGTTATTATTATTACTATTATCCTTATTATTATTATTATTATCATCATCATCATCATCATCATCATCATCATCATCATTACCACCACCATCATCATCATTGTCATCATCATTGATTAATTCTCTGATAAACAACGACCGCACGCACGCACGCACGCACGCACGCACGCACCTGTATCTGTAGACGTATCCTCTATTCTTCGCCGCCGACTCGCTCGCGTCGGCCGTGTCCTTGCTGACGAGGTTGCCGGTGGCGCTACCTGTCCTGCTGAACGACAACGTCGCCTCTCTGTCGCCGGAGCCGCGGATGCCTCCGCTAGTGATCGGTCCGTATCGCGTCGTCGTGAAGAACGCTGGCTGCTCGGTGGCGCCGCTGCCGAAGTTGCCGACGCCGGTCGCTCGGACGGCGACGACTGACGGCTGTTGGAACCTCGTGACGACGGTGCGCGTGCCGCCGCCGCCGACAAGGCCGCCGACGCTACCTTGGAATCGACGTCCGCTGCCGCCGCTGACGAGGCCGCCGACGCTACCTTGGAATCGACGTCCGCTGCCGCCGCTGACGAGGCCGCCGACTTGGAATCGACGTCCACTGCCGCCGCTGACGAAGCGTCGGCTGGATCCGCTGCCGACGGCGCTGACGCTACCGGCGTTGGAGAAACGACCGCCGGAGACGGAGCCGCCGGAGAGGGAGCCACCGGTGAAGGACCCGCCGGATGTGAAGCCGGTTCCGGCGCCGCTTGCGTCGACAACCCTGATGACGCGAGTCTGACCGGATCCGGATCCATCGCCGCCGACAACGAAGCGCCGTCCGTCGGGCAGCTCGACGACGTAGCCAACGTTGCCATCGTCGCCGCTTCCGTACTGGTAGGCGAAGTTACCGCCTTGCCGGATGCCGACGTCGCCAGGGAAGTCAATGGCGACTGCCGCGCCCAGCAGTGCCAGAAGTACGAAGGCTGTCTTCATCGTTGGTCTGCGGAGAGACGACGGGAGGATGGTGTCAGTCTGAGACGGAGGGAAGATGGTGTCAGTCTAAGATATCGGGAGGATGGTGTCAGTCTAAGATAGCGGGAGGATGATGTCAGTCTAAGATAGCGGGAGGATGGTGTCAGTCTAAGACGGCGTGAGGATGGTGTCAGTCTTAGACGGCGTGAGAATGGTGTCAGTCTAAGACGGCGGGAGGATGGTGTCAGTCTAAGACGGCGGTCGCCGTCGGCAGATTTCGTGACGATAAAACGCGTGACGTTTCGCGCCGCGAGAGTCACGTGACACGAATAACAAATACGACGACACGTGGTCGACTGTGACATGATGTAAATATATATACTATATACATACATATACCATGTCACTTCCGATATGGCCGGGTGTATGAGGGTTGGTTAATCGAAATTCACGTAGTAAATATACACAATAGTTAAAGTTTCATATAGAATGAATACATACGCGTTAAGCGTAAACTTGTTCGCAGAGAAATTGTGTTAGTAGACAGTACTCCAACAGTAAAATAATAGACGGACATATCTGTCCATTACTCTTACTATTACGCTGACTATTATTATTACTTGTGATGACTCGTATATACTCATAACTCGTACATAGTCTTATCACTTGTATATACTAACTACTCGAAACCGATATCGATGTGTCTGTCATAGGAACGCCTCTTTTCACTTCTATGAAACACTTGGGCTATCTACTCCTGGCGCCCCGTATCTCAGAAACATCATAATTAGAGTATAAAATTATAACAACTCTAAAAGCTCAGGACATTTGATGTAAAGTTACGCGCAAAAAGTCACATCATTCCATGTGATGTTACGCGCCAAAAGTCACAAGATTTGATATTAAATTACGCGCCAAAAGTCACAACATTTAATGTGGCGTTACGCGCCAAAGGTCACGACATCTGATGTGAAATTACGCGCCAAAACTCACAACATTTAATGTGGCGTTACGCGCCAAAAACCGCAATATTTGTCGCAAAGTTACGCGCCAAACCCTGCAACATTCTAGACTCATGAAACCTAATAATACAATATTAACAAGAGCTAATAATAACTACGAGTATTATTATATTATTAGCTTTTGATATTAATAATATAACTATACGTGATGTATCTGACAACGGGACCCCGGTCGTGGTCGCGCCTTGCTTCCCTGTAACCGCCTCCCCCTCCTTCCTCCCTCCTCTAGCCGAGCTCACCTGAATGTGGATGCGTTGCCGATCGACGTTGCTTCTAGCGAGGGCAGGATGCGAGCAAGCCGACACGTCGCCGCTCCGTTACTTATATGCGACACCGGCCGTCACGCGACCCGTGACTCTCTGTGTGACCTTGTGCACGATATGTCTCTCTCTCTCTCTCTCGGGCGCTCTTTCTTTCTCTCTCTCTTCTTTCTCGTCGGGCGCTCTTTCTTCTCTCTCTCTCTCTCTCTCTCTCTCTCTCTCTC